GCATGTGAAAAACCCGTAAACTATACCAGTAAAAGCTGCTCCAAAATGTGACCTGCAAGCACCATACTCAGTGAACATCACCTCAGGGAAAATCAGATTACTTGATAATTTTTCTATAATAATGAGCGTAATTGAATTCAGTTTGATGAAAAGATATTGAGTTTGTGATGGTACTAATATTCTTTTTGAGTAAACCATCATAATTGGTTGCTTACCAGTCATCAATTGGACCAAAGTTGCTTAGAACAAAGCTTAGAACTGTAAAAATAATTGCCTTCTGAAACATGCTTTTAGAAGCCTCAGTTGCAATAACATCTCTGTTTTGAACTTGATAAATTAGCCAAGCTCCAATTAAAGCAAATACAGGCCCCTAAGCAAGAATAAACTGATCAAACAGTAGCTATACATTGCATAAAGATCATAAAGAAAGAATTTCAGACAACAATATATGACTATTTATTTGGTTTGATGAACACCCAGCCATGATGCAAACTTCAAGCACACTCTAGCCATGCCTTGATATACAGAAATTAAAAAACGAAATTTATGAAATTAATTGAGAATTATGTAAGAGTAACATGCAGCATCATACCGTTCCACCAACAGTTGGCTCCGGTGTGTGCAGAAAACTAATCAGGTTTCCGGAGAATCCTCCAAGAATATAGATCAAGAGAAATGTAAACGAACCATATTTTTGAGATACTTCAAGCCCAAAAATGAAGAGAAACCAACTACCAAGGGCTATGTGAAAGATTCCTGAGTGCTGGAAATATTAAAAATTCATAAAAAGTAAAAAAATTAAATTAAGGATATCTTAAATATGAAGAGGAATGAATCCCACTTTATAACCTAAAGTTCATATTGTTTTGTAAGGTTTAAATCAGTTCACAGTCTTGATTTAAGTGGCCATAGGAGTACAAAAAAGGAGCAGTGAAATTAATGCCTTTGTACTGCTACAGCTACATGTTAAATGTGTGCATGCGGGCTATAACTTGTAAAGTACAAAACTACGTAATAAATCTGATCCAACTTAAATCGGACAACGAGAAAGTGTAAAAATAAAACAACTCAATGAAACAAGTAATAAATACACTGACCAATGACTATTCCTTCATGCAAGATACAATATTTGGGTGTGAACGTGTATTCACATGTCTCTAGTATTTACAACATAATTCAAATTTAGATAGAAAAGAGTTACGTTTGCAGATGGCAGTGCATAATTCCAAACAATTGCAACTTCAGTTATTAAAAAGCTCATCTGCAGAAAGTTAATTCTATGCCTTCACTGGCTTATAACTCGACGAAGTGGGGATATATTGCATTATCCATTTATATTAATTTTTGACACAACAGTTTTTATTTAAGAAGTTCTAAATTAATGATAAAATTGAAGCACGAACCAAGTTATTGTTCTTGTACCAGAAAAATTGGTGACACTAGTCTCCACCATTCTCCCATCAGAATCAAGTTATTTATCTTCGCTCCATAGACCAAAGGGAGTGAAAACAGCTCGAAGT